TTCTACCTGTAACTAATAGTTATGAGACCATCTATCTTATATCTCAGTTAGACATCTCCAGAGCTGCCATCTAGGATGTATCTGTGTGTATTTGTATAGATTTGCCTGGCAAAGTGTGTCTGGCAGTGAATAGTGTATTGGTGTGTCCGGCCCTGGGTATCTCTATGAGTGTGTCTGGCAGTGTGTGTCTGCATGGATGTGTCTAGCAGAGTGTGTCTGAACATGTGTCTTGTAGTGTTTGTGCATGTGTGTGTCTGTAAAAGTGGCACTGTTACAACTATATAAGTTGAGGTGTTATTTCTCTCACAGTAGTATAAGGGAAAACGGGGGGTTAGAATGAAATCTTGCCAAAATTAGACCCTCCCTTTTTAAGGACCCCACGCTGGACTTTAGCCCATTTTATTAAATTTTGGTTTTGCTTCATTTTGATTTTCCCACTTTATAATTTTTTTAAAGAAGGTAAACAAGCACCTCAATTACCAAAGTTTGCTGTAGTAGTTGTGGTGCCAGGAGTACCACTACTTTGAATGTTCTGTGTTTCTCCCATTCCCCCCTTTGCCCCAATGGATGTATGAAACTATAATTGACATTAGTTAGCTCAATTGTTCCAAGCAACTGGTGATACCCTAATGGTACTGCCAAAGGAAGAGCTAAACCTCCTGCAGCAAAGGGGATAAACTTTGTACATGCAGCATTTTATAGCGAAATGCTGAAAATACTGACTGCAAGCACCATGTCCACTTTAAATCACTGAAATGGTCATGTATTTGAGTAACCATTTAATATATTTCTACTGCTAAATTGGTTTGTAAAAAAATTTATATTATTTCTGCTGTTGCTTTCTTTGAATTGAAGTTTCAGACTACTTGGCATTTAAATTAGCAATATTTTGAACGCATAAATTTACTTTTGTGGATTATGAAAAATATGTAAATGTAATTGTTAGTGGATATTGAGATTTCTGGGCTTAAAAAGAGTAACACAATTTGTACTATTCCTTTTCTAGATTTAGCAGAGAATCTGACATCTCATGAAAGCAAACGTATTATCTTGACTTGGTGGCTAATGTAAGTCTTTATTAACACAGATATTATTCTGACTTTATCTATGGTGGCACGCAGTGGTACAGAGTTGCAATTCATATATGCCAGTTCAAATTTCTTAAGCATCACATGTGAACAGAGAACAGTTGGTGTGCAGAAAATCTCTTTATTGAGTCTGAACTGAAATGAAAAGAAATGACCTTTTGTAAAGTAAATTCCTTGGGATAAAAAAGGACAGTTGGTACTTATGCAAATGCTTTGAACCGAAAAAAAAAAGTTCTTTGAATTAAAAAGCCGAATGATTCTGGAATATATAATACATTCCAAGGCATGTGACAGAAATCTCTTTCTCTAGTCTACTGGAACACTCCATATTTATTCAACACGGCTTCATTTGTCCCCACACAAAAGAGTATTTTGTACAAAATAATTCAATTAATGATTTTATTTCCATACCTTGACTAAAATGCCCATTTGTCTTCCAGGTTTTTGCTGAATTTGGAAGACCGACAACAACCTAAACCCTCACTGGCACAATAAGACCGTATTTCTAATAGCTTGCAGTTCTTGGTAGGGATGAAGTGCAAACTAGGAACTGTAACATTTGTTTAGCAAACTGGATGATTCATATCTTCAAATAATTTCCAAAAACAAAAAAAATATATTTTTTGATTCAGTAGGTTGGTCTCTCTCCCTCACAACTGGGCTTTGCCACTGTAACTCTATTGTTTCAGGTTATAAGTCATAAGTGGACATTTCCACATTTTGTAATTCTGCCTGCTTAAATTGAATTCATTTTGTTTGGATTTTTACCATTTGCATTTTAAAACAGAACTACTAGTTTGAATGTGAAAAACATTATCTATTGTGACACACAAAAGGGCCACTTATTAACTTCCGTGTGGTTTTGTAGGACTTTGCACATCTAGAGTTTTGAGTATAATTTACTATCATGTTAGGTGTAGTCTGAGGATACAGCAATGTTCAACTGTTTAAACTGATTGTTATTCTAATCAAGGTCTGGATTTTATGATGGTTATTCTATGACATTCTAGATCGGGGCTTTCAGTAACTCCAGTCTATAAAGTTAATATAAACAAAGCTAGGGGGCCTGACAGTATTCACCCACGAGTACTTAAGTAGCTAATTGTGGAATTAAGTGAACATCTGTTTTTAATCTTTCAAGATTATTTTCTTTCATGAATTTATTAGGGATGTGGATGGGGAAAAAAATTGGTTCAGTTCGGACTTCCGAAATTCGTGACTTTGGCAATTCAGGACTTTGGCAATTCGGGACTTGCGCAATTCGGTTCGGCACTTCCGAAATTTGGAACTTTGGCACTTCGGGACTTTGGGAATTCGGGACTTCAGCAGTTCCCTAATCCTACTCCTAACCCTACCCCTACCACTAACCCCTAAACCCACCCCAACCCTAACACTACTCCAATCCTAACCCTAACCCTAACCCTACCCCTAACTCCACCCCTAATTCCTAACCCTAACCCCTAACCCTTCTCCAACCCCTATCCCAATGTTAACCCTAGCCCTAACCCTGCCCCAAACCTAATTTTACCCCAACCCTACCTTAACCCTAACCCCACCCCTAACGCTACCCCAACCCTAACCCTACCCCAACCCTAATCGTACCCCAAGCCTACCCTAACACCACCCGTAACGCTACACCAACCCTAATTAGGGGTGGAGTTAGGGGTAGGGTTAGGGTTAGGATTGGAGTAGTGTTAGGGTTGGGGTGGGTTTAGGGGTTAGTGGTAGGGATAGGGTTAGGAGGAGGATTAGGGAACTAACCACCCCTAACCCAAACCCTAACCCTACCCCTAACCCTAATCCTAACTCCCACCCCTAACCCTACCCCTACCCTAACCCCACCCTTAACCCTACCCTAACCCCACCCTTAACCCTACCCCAACCCAAACCCCAAACCTACTCCTAACCGTAACCCTACCCAAACCCTACTTCTACCCCAACCCTACCCCTACCCTAACCACACCCCTAACTCTAACCCAAACCCCACCCCTAACCCTACCCCAACCCTAACTCCTAACCCTAATCCTACCCCAACCCTAACCCTACCCCTAACCCCAAGCTTCCTCTACCCCTAACCATACCACAAAATCTAACCCTCACCCTAGATTCCTGTCATTATTCCCTTAATTTTCCCTCCCTCTCCTGTTTTGCCACTTTCAGAAATCCAAAGCACTTTGGCACTTTTGAAATTCAGCACTTCTGAAATTCAGGTTTGGTTTGGCACTTCCGAAATTCGGCGCTTAGGCACTTCGGTAATTCGGACATTCAGAAGCATCCGAATGTCCGAATTGCCAAAATTCAGCCGAATTTAAATTTGGACCGAAACAAATTGCACGTGTCTAGAATTTATGTACTTAAATCATTTTGGGAATTGGTTTTGCTCTCTTTGGCTAAAACATTATATTTGCTAGTACAGCCAATATAAGTGCATTTTAGGCTTTCTTATATAGGGTGCCTCTGATTTGTCTGATTTAAAGTAGAGTTGAGGGAACCCGGACTGTAAAATTCGGGTTCGTACCGTACATTACGGTTTTTGGACCCCGGTCCCGAACATGGACATATCACTGTATGTTCGGGTTGGAGTTCGGTGTTCGTCAATTTAATGGCGCGTTTTGAAAGGCTGCAGGGCAGCCAATCAACAAGCGTTTGACTTGTGTGCCCTTAGAAGCCATCACAGCCATGCCTAATAATGGCATGTCTTTGATTGGCCAGTGCAGCATGTGACCCAGTCTCTATATATAAGCTGGAGTCACGTAGTGCCGCATGTCACATGAGCTCTTATTAGTGTAGGGACAGGATGCTGCCGCTTTCAGAGACAGATTAGGAAAGAATTCTGCAAACTAGTACAATAGTGGGGTGCACTTCATATCTGAGAGTCAAATAGAAGAGTCAAATACTGCGGTTACATCAGAGTTTTAAAAAGTCAAATTTTTGTTGGTGCTAAATAGTACATTAGTGGGGTGCACTTCATATCTGAGAGTCAAATAGAAGCATCAAATACTGCTGTCACATTGCAGTTTTAAAACTTAATTTTTTTTGTTCTAAAAAGTACATTAGTGGGTTGCTCTTCATATCTGAGAGTCAAATAGAAGTGTCAAATACTATGGTTACAGCGCAGTTGTAAACATTCTAATTGTTTTGGTGCTAATCTGCTAAATAGTACATTAGTGGGGTGCACTTCATATCTGAGAATCAAATAGAAGCGTTAAATAGTGCGCTTACAGCGCAGTTGTAAAAATTCTGATTGTTTTGCTGCTAAACTGCTAAATAGTAAATTTTGGGCGTGCTCTTCATATGTGAGAGTCAAATAGAAGCGTCAAATTGTGCGGTTACAGCGCAGTTGTAAACATTCTAGTTGTTTTGGTGCTAAACTGCTAAATAGTACATTTTGGGTGTGCTCTTCATATCTGAGAGTCAAATAGAAGCATCAAATAGAGCGGTTACAGCGCAGTTGTAAAAATTCTGATTGTTTTGCTGCTAAACTGCAAAATAGTAAATTTTGGGCGTGCTCTTCATATCTGAGAGTCAAATAGAAGCGTCAAATTGTGCGGTTACAGCGCAGTTGTAAACATTCTAGTTGTTTTGGTGCTAAACTGCTAAATAGTACATTTTGGGCGTGCTCTTCATATCTGAGAGTCAAGTAGAAGCATCAAATAGAGCGGTTACAGCACAGTTGTAAAAATTCTAATTGTTTTGCTGCTAAACTGCTAAATAGTACATTTTGGGCATGCTCTTCATATCTGAGAGTCAAATAGAAGCGTCAAATGTCTGCACTGCAGTGTAACTGCTCGCCTGTCTGCAGTGCAGCGTAACTTTGGCCTTCCCGCTCACCGCCTCATATGCGACGTGCCCACAAGGTGGCACTCCACCTTGCACATGCTGGAGAGACTGTGCGAGCAACAGCAGGCAATAGTGGAGTTTCAGGTGCAGCACGCATGGGTCAGTCGCTCTGCACCAGACTTGCCCTCCAATTGATCAGAGTTAAAGGATTTCAAGTGGACTCATTACAATTACAGGGCCTCTAAAGAGTCCTGTATTGTTATTTGTCGTCACTACCTTCCCGCATCGGGAGTGGGTCATTTGCGTGCTTGTTGCCTTCCTTGCATGTGGTAGCCGTTTCTCAGGCTCCCTCTCCAGAATCAAACCCTGATTTCCCGTTACCCGTGGTCACCATGGTAGGCACAGTAAATGGCATTGAAAGTTGATATGGATGACATACGAATGCGCCGTCGCCTTGTCGTTGGGAAGCCTATTGAAAAAGTGCTCTAGCAAGACGAACTGGGTGACCTCCCCTGGGAACTTGGCTTGATAGGAGTTGAGCCAGTTCTGGGTGGCCCTTGTGATGTGGCATGCCCACTCTGCATGGGAGTCCTTCTCCCCTTTCAGGGTCTCCCTAAACTTTTGGCGGTATTGCTTGGGGGTGACCGCATACCGGGCCAGTAGGATTTGGGTAATAATGGGATAGTCTCTGATCTGCTCTTCTGGTAAAGCCCAGTAAATATCCACTGCCTTACCCACTAGTTTGCTGGCCAGGATGGTGACCCAGTCGCTGGGGTCCACGTCTTGGAGTAGGCACTGTCGCTCAAAGTCTTGTAAAAAAGTCATCGATGCCTTCTTCTGCTTCCTTGAAGTCTTTGAAGGCATTGTATGGTAGCTTGTGGGCCAGGGTGGTTGTGCTTCCCGGCACCCTCTGCTCCCTTCTTCCTTTATCTGAGTTCATGGAGGTCGCCCTTTGTCTATTGGCAAGGACATAGGCTTGCACCTCCAAAAAAGTCCTGTTGACAATCTCCTCTGAGAGTGGCTCTCAGTAATATGCCAGGCGCCGTTACACCTCCTTGCGCACTTCCTCCTCATCTCTGGCCCCTGGCTAGGGTTCGTTGCCTTACTGCGTACCTGGTCGTCCTCCATGAGCGCAGCAGTCAATTCGTCCTTGTTACACCCACCAGGTGTTATTCCTCTGGCTCCACACAAGTCCTGCAGTGTAGGTCGCTTTAGAGCACTGTAGCCCATGGGTCTGTTGGCAGGGACATGGGATCCCGCCGCTTGCCACCAATTGAAGCGGGACCTGGGTAACCGATGGTTATCCCCTTTGATTAGAATAGGTCAGACCCATTTCCCCAGTGTAACGGCACCCTCAGCATAAAAGGGTTAAACTGCAGTTTAGTACACAGGCACAGCTACTGCAGAACACCAATCCGCTGAACAGGAAACCATATGAATGCTGTAAACAGCCGAATAGGAAAAACCATACGAATAGGTTTACACTCCTAGCAGTCGAACTGGAACAGCATACAATAAATCTCCCCATAAGAACGAGACAAAGCTCCGTGTTGGGGGTCAAGCAGTGAACAGACAGAGCTGTGGGTTTATTGTTCTTATGTACACATTCTTACACATTAGTACCACCCACAGAGGTTTGGAACACAACCAATAAACACATACAATACACTCAGACACTCCCACACAAAATCCTCCCCTCTGCCTGTGATTCAATTACCTTACACAATGGGTAATGTAATTATCACAAGCAGAGAAATACAATTTTTCCACATTATTCATAACTTGAAAAGTATGCATTACATTCACATACATTTACACATACACTTACATTTTGAGAATCAGCATACTCCAAATACAAACATATGTCAAAATCATCCAAACTGGTCCAGTGGTTCAAAAGATAGATCGTAGTCCTTTGTGACCAAAGGAAGCATGGCTTTTCTGCCCAAAACCAGTTCCACAGAGTCTATCCTGGAGAAAATTGGGAAGTAATCCAATTATCTCCAAGGACAGAGGCAAAACTCCATTGAACACATGGCAGCAAAAGACAATAAAATACATAAAAACATATAACTGTGCAGCCATTCAACATATCGCCAGATAGCTCAGATCTGAGCGCACATTATTACTGAATGGCGCTCAGAGCACACACATACAGTTCAATTGCCATGGAGCCAAAGTCTTTCCCATAGTCTTTCATTATACGAATGGGCTCCATGGAATAGCTATCTGGGGTATCACCGCTCAAACAGGGCAAGCACCAAATGACCCGGCTTTCATGTCTTTGCAGGGGAAAATCCAGCGTTTCAACATGGGGCCATAGTCTAAAGGCAGCAGGCGGGCAACCACCTTCTCCAATGCAAAGTGGCGAGATTGCTCTCGTCACACCCCTCCCCTTCTTCTTACCCCCACCCCTTCTTCTTACCCACCCCTTCTTCTTACCCCTCCCCTTCTTATTACTCCCCTTCCCTGTAGCGTGGCCGAGCTCCTCTCTGGTCCGCGGTGCCCGGCCAGAGTGATAGGAAGTGCACACTCAGTGTGCACCTCCTGTCAGTCCAGCCGGTTAGATGAAACAGAAACTCAGCGCGGAACAGGAGTTTTTGTTTCCTGTAACCGGCTGGACTGACAGGAAGTGAACACTGAGGGTTAACAGAGCGCTCAAACGGCTGCAGCATTAGGATCGGCCAGCCGCGGCCGGTTTTAAAATTATTTAGGGCGGCCTGGGGGGCAATTGCCTCCCTGCCCCCAGACCAGCCAGCCCCTGGCCTGCGACATCTAGAAACACTGCTGGGTCATCTTGAGTGGCGGAGTCCCCAACTGCCATGTTGTCCAAACAAGGCCAGTGCAAAGATTTTTGGGTACATAGGCAAAGATTAATTTTTTCGTTCACCCACTCAAAAAATAACATCTTCACCTGTTTGCCTCTTAACTAGGCGAACCGGCCGAAACGCCATTGACTTCAATGGGGAGGCGAATTTTAAAACACACAGGGACTCTTTCTGGCCACAATAGGGATGGAAAAGTTGTTTCAAGGGGACTAACACCTGGACTGTGGCATGCCGGAGGGGGATCCATGGCAAAACTCCCATGGAAAATTACACAGTTGATACAGAGTCTGGTTTTAATCCATAAAGGGCAGAAATCACCTAACATTCCTAAATCACAATCAATATGGATTGACACCTGACATATGACATATTGACACCTTGACATATGGATTGACACCTGTCCTCAGAGCCCCTGATACACACTGACACAGAGCAGAATAGGGACTGTCCCCCTACATCGGGTCACTTGGCAGATATGGATTGACACCTTGTTACAAACTGCTATTTGTAACGGGCCCTTTAAATGGCAAATTGCCCTGCTTCCCTGGGTTGTGGAGAAGCCTACTTGCCAGCCTCCTCCCGCATGACTATGGCCCCTGGGAGATTGTGAAAATGTATGCACTTTTATTTGGTGTGTATGGCCCTTTAAGACTGTCGGTGGGCATATTGGGGCTTATGGACTCTTTATGTGACTGGTGCTGGCCCTTTAAACACCTTTTTTGGGACATCAGGAAGATTGGGACACTGCCCCTTTAAGGCCGTGTCCCCAGACTTGTTGGGGACACGGCCCCTTTAAGACGGTGTCCCCTGTGTCCCCAGACCTGGTGCAAACCCTTTGTGCCTGCCTTGCTATTTCCCACTTGGTTCAGTAAATGGGAATTATTTCAGCTGCAGAGACTAAGTCCCATTCAGCGATGGGACTTAGTCTTTTTTCAGCCGTTTTTTTCAGCCTTATTTCAGCTGCAGAGACTAAGTCCCATTCGGCGATGGGACTTAGTCTTTTTTTCAGCCTTATTTCAGCCGCAGAGACTAAGTCCCATTCGGCGATGGGACTTAGTCTTTTTTTCAGCCGTTTTTTTCAGCCTTATTTCAGCTGCAGAGACTAAGTCCCATTCGGCGATGGGACTTAGCCTTTTTTTCAGCCTTATTTCAGCTGCAGAGAC